CAGTCTCTGTGAATAGCCACTGGCTATATGCCTCCATCGTGCCATAGGTGGTGTTATCTGTGGCTGCCAAACTGGAATTATTTTTTATCCACAGCTCCAAGTCCAGGATTCTTTTAATTCTGAAAAACTCTAATGCAGGATTACTTAATAGTCAATTTGACATTTACAAAACTATGTTTTCTTAACACTAAACTTGGCTGAAAAAACTCAGGCGATATTTCCCCAGCACTATGCAATGACACCATCTGGTAGTTAATGATTAGCGGGATTTACAGCAGAGACAGGTACATATTTGGCTAACCATCTCATCACTGGCAAACAAAGTCAAGTAAAGCTAACCTTAGCTGTACCCAAAGGTCACTTGTGAGACTGCTACTGAAACTGTCCATATGGATTCAAACTAGCACTGGGATTCGGAAATAACAGTGCTGCCACAGAGATAAGGAATAAAAAGACAAAAAATCTGTGCCCAGCTGCAGATCCAAACCTAGACTGCAACCTTTTGAAGCACTGAGGTAACTCCCTTCTCTCCTGCTACATTACTCTCAGATATCCGAACCAGCTTCTGCCACAGTCTTCATGAAATTCAAGCTGCAAATACATAGAAATGCATTGGATACCTTTATTTCTGCTTCTATCTGAACCACAATAAAAAGGATGCAAAGCCTTGCCTTCAAGAGACAAAATTGGCTGGCTTATGCCTCAAACAACTGCAGCAGAAAACCTGCAATTCCAAAGCATGGCCCATGTGGAAGCACAGACACTTTCCTTCTCCCACTTTCTAATCCCTGGAGTTCAAAATGACTGGGGCTGACACTCACAGACACCAGAGGCAGCAGAAATCTGGCTGGTTATCACAGAAAGAGAGACAGGACAGGATGGCATCCACATAGGATGGTGGCATTGAGTCTGCTCAACAAACACAGGGCCTCCAAAGACAGATGAACAGCATATGACATCCACAGCCATTTAGCTGATTAGCCAGAAAACATGGGTCACCTTGTGGAACTCCACATATTTAAAAATAAAGCCATAAGACAATAAAAGGACTTTATAAGCCACAAAAGCATCTTTTGACTCTCTAGTGCCCCAGAGTATTTTTAACCCAGGCAAGGATATGCAGCGATGCAGCACTTGGTATCACAGTATTTGACTATTTCAACCACTATACCCATCAAGGAAAAGAAACGTTCTCTGATCATGGTCTTTCCTTGGGGTTAACAAGACAAATGCATCTTGAGTCACCCAAGAGGACATGGAGAAGCTGTGGTCCAGGGAAATATTGAACAAGGCTCAGCAATGCACAATTAACCAAATTGTCTTTCCCACCTGTTTAGTCCTGTTTCCCACCACAAGGAAAGACAGAGGCAGCAAAGTAACTTAAGAACTCAAATGACTTGATTTGTCCTTATCTGAACAGCAGCAGGATTAGTCAGCACAGAACACACCATGTGCTTAACAGTCAAGGAAACTTCCCCAGCATCCCTACAGTATGAAATATGGACTGTATTTTTTTTAATACCACTCCACACGTCAGCACAGGAGTCTAAGTTACAATGCGAGAAAATGAGCTGGGCCCAGAGGCAACTGCAAAAATCTGTTTTAAAAGAAAAGAACATTGAGTAGGTCTTTAACTGGAACCAGCACGGGTGCAAAGTTTGTTATCTTGAGTCATTTCATCGTGTGATGAGTGATCTGGGAATTTCTGCATCACATTAGCGTAAGCTCCTATTTCCAGCCTTAACAGGATCCTAAGTTATTAAAATCTCTGAGGCCAAGGCACGTGGGAACCAAATTTGGATGCCTGTACTCATATCAAGTAACACATTCTGTTCAAGTTCTGCCACTGCCATCGGTGGGTGTAGCTAACAAATGAATCACTACTACAGAAGTAGAGAACTCAATTTGTAGTTTTTATAGCTACGAGTGGCCCAGATAAGAATCTCAGCACCAGCACAAATTTGAGCTGGATGCAGGAAGCGGTGAGAAATGTCCCACAAGCTGTGCTACGTGTGCTGCCCATATGGGATGGGAACACAAAACTGCAACCCAGTGACTGGCACTGAAGTCTGGGACTAAGGAAAGAAGTTTAAATAAGAGCCAGAATAAAAAGCCACAGGGCAGTATTGCAACTTAGGACTTGGCTTTTGACCAGCAGGGAGCCATGGCAGGTGCAGCCTGACAGAACTACAGCACAACGCACAGGGTGACTACGTGTCCATGCCTACCAACGAGGTCTCGCTCAATATGCTGAGTGAAAATTCACATTCCAACTTCACCACTTCTGATGCAATTGTAATTTCTTCCTGGCCTTAAAGTCTCTGTATCTGAGCTCTCTCAGTGAAAGCGTAATTATTTGGAAAGGTCTCAAAGAGAAAACTAAGACCTCTTGCTGTCAGGCTGGCTGATCCTATGAACCAGGTGTGGATTTTGATCTTCACAAACCCATTCATGCAGTCTGAGAGATGAAAATTATGTTTGGAAAGAAAAAATCAGTAGACAGAGGCTACCCTAGATAAGACCAGCTGCATTCAAATCAGAAGGCTATCCCATTTGATGGAGGAGGTTTACCAGAGCCACTGCTAAAAAAAACAACATAGAGCACCATGAAGAAGCTCTGATTTTTATATCTTCCTATCACTATTTCACCTTTCCTGGAAATTGTAATTAACAGGTTTGAGAATGTAGTATTTTATAGGATGATGAGTAGTGGCTTTGAGTCCTGGCTCTGAAACTTACACCTATATCTACTTTATCCCTCTTCCATAGCCTAATAAATTATAAAATTTTAGAGGCTAAAATGTTCTTCTTACATTTCTTTTTCCACGCACATTTTACAAGCCAGAGCTTGTAAGTCATCACAGTTTTCAGCTTTAAAAAGAAAGGAAAAAGGAAAGAAATCAGACAGCTCCAGGGAGTTATTATGTTCCAAAATTTCAACATTTCTGACCCCTGCACTAAGAATTGGTTCAAATCTGTCTCACTCTGGGAAAAACCTAATTCACTCTCTTGGAAAGTTTATTGTCAATGGGATTCTACTGTTTCTGAGTGGAATAAAGAATTCTAAATCTATGCCATATCAGTTTTAACTACAGAAGACTTTTATGTTTTCTAAGAGAAAGAGATAATTGAAACAGAGGCTTTATTCAACATGATGTTAAAAAGGAGCACTTAAACTATCCAGCCAAGAAGCGACTGCATGAAAAATGAGGTGATCTGTAGAAAATCTAATGCTTTGGGTGTCTGATGGACAAACAGGAAATCTCCATTACATTAACCATTATTAAAAAAAAAAAAAAAAAAAAGTCATCGCTTTTAGACAGAGATTCTGCTTTGTTCCCAGGTCCGCTCAGCCCTTGCACATTATCTTCCAAGAATTCCACTCTTCTAAGTTCATCTGTGCTGTTTGAGGGGTAGGGTACAACTATACAACTATGTCACTGGAGATATGCCAGCTATTCTACTCCACATACATCTGGAGAGTGTTTACACTCACCTATGTCAACTGCACCTAGGAAAGAAAGGTGAAATCAAAGGATTTCAGATGGTAAGGTCTATCAACTACCTATCACCAGAACCAGGAGAATACAACCACTCTGCCTTTGTGATGGAAATGTGAAACAGTGACATGGTCAGACAAGGTCCTAGACCTTTTATATATTTTGCATGTCTCTGTGACTTATAAGTCTTACAGCTTGCTTCCCTAGATGTCCAAACATCTCCTTTCACTGTCCAAAATCCAAAGGCACAAAGAGGCAAATCTTCAGACTTGGTGCCAAAAAGCCTTCTTTTAAATGCGGGAGTCTAAAGCTGTGTAGAGGGATTTGCAGAAGAACCTAGACAATTTGAAAGTCCTGTGAGGTATCTTCTTCCATCACGAGGTGTAGAAATATTGCATGTTCAATCTGTAGACATTTTGGTCTGACTTCCAGACATTTTTAATGACACACCAGAACTTCCACAAGAATGTGACTCTAAAATATATACACCACAATTCACAATCAGAAAACATTTGTTAAATCACTCGAGTCCTGTTTATTTTTGACCCTTCAAAATAAGGACTTCTGGTTTCTTAATAGCAGCACCTTCTTGACATAAAGGACAAGGCACTTCTTTATCTATTCATAGTTAGTAACTATTCTGAAAATCAGGATTTCTACACACACATTCATGCACCATTATCTAGCAAGTAATACAACGTTAAAACTGATTTAAGTCCCATATCCTAGACTGAACTACAGAAGAATGTCACTGGTTTTTCGTCTCTCTCTCAAGTCAGCTTTTGAGCCTTCATCTGGTAGAGAAGTTTGGCAAAGCAGCATCTGAAAAGGAGGAGCCTGGAGACAGGAACTAAATTTATGAAATCTTCTGCTTTTAAGACATTCTCCCAGTTTTGGATACCGCCACTTGGGGAAGGAATGAGGTATAGTCACAAGGCAGATTTTCAGCAAATAGTTTGAACATCCTGGGCTCTCACCAGTTGGTAGAAAAAATACTAGTTCCTCAGAGGGTGATTCAAAACAGTGTGAGTCATCCTTTCTCTGCAAGGTTTGCATAAGGAGACTGGTCTGAGTGGCTGGCTTTGTGCAGACTGTGTTGTAGTCTGAAGTAGCTCTCAGAAGCATTGAAAAAGAGAAGGTGTAATGATTATAGCTTTGCCAGTGAAGCACTGGGGCAGTTTTTCTGTGTTAGCATAAGCAGCCATATAAAATAATAGTAATAAAAAAAGCAGGAGTTCTTCAATTACCAAGAACTGTACTCATCTGTAGAAGACAGCATCTGTTACTGGACTAAGAAAGAGGTACAAACATGGAGCCATTCAACTATAACACTGCAAGATACAGACTGAGCATACATGTATAAAATTAAAAACATGGGCATACTTAGTGTTCAGAAAAAAATAAAAAAAATAAAGAAGAAAAAATGATCTCTTCAAGTTAGATACTCTTCTCCCTTCCATGATCTAACCAAAGCAAGCAAAGCCAGAGAGCAAAACTCACCAGTAAAACCTGTTTGGAGTGACCCGCTCGTGCATGAGTTGCCATTTTCTTCCAAAGTCCATGGAGCTGTACAGCTGAAAGACAGAGAGAAGTAGTATAAACTCTGAGCAAGAAGAGGAAGGGCTGCTGCTCCAAAAAGGATTAAAATCAGTTCAGATTAAAGAATAGGAAAGGATTGTACTGCACAGTTATCTATCAACCTCACTGCCAGGGATGGCTAATAAGGTAATCTCCTCCCTTCATATTTAACCCAGAACTGAGACTCGAAAGCAGGTTGGCTCTTCCTAAACTTCTTCAAACATTTTTGTGCTTTCTCATTGCAGCTGTCAACACATTCACTTTGTCTGCCATATGATAAAGCTGGCAATCCCCCTGACTTTTTCAGTTCAATGGGAAGCAGGTGATTGATGGCAGGTAAATTCCTAACATTAGTTAGAATGAAAGGCAAATTAGATTAGTTAACTTGGCTATGATGTGGTAGATAGTGACTCTGTACTCAAGGTCATGCTGTGATCTGTTTTTATGGTGAGGGTTGCATCTCTCACCAGTGTAGGAAAGAACATGAAATTGCTCCTAATTTACAGCTTCCATTTTCCAAATAAGGTCTATATTTTCAGATTAGTCAGAAATCAATCTGCTCAGTAGTTAAACATTCAAGATAGTGAAGTAGATCTTGAAAGCCATATCATCTAATCATTGTTCTGTGTTTTCTGGCTAGCAAATAGTGCAGCAGCCAGATTTCCACACAATTCTGCACTCAGACACAGGTTCACTTGACATGTTCTCTGCTGAATACTACAAACCTTGTCCTCCATCCAGTTAATCACCACAATTGACTCACTCATAATCAGAGCATGTATAAGTTTTTTTCCTACAACTTCGAGAAAGTTTGTTTTTTTCAGAAATGAATCACACCTTCAGAAACAGCTACTCTGCTTTACAACTAGATCACAGAGAAAGAAATACTAGGCAGTATTTTCAAGGGGATTTCAAATAAATTCCATCTGAAACAAATTCTGGGTTAATAAAACAAGAGTTGATTGTAGACTAAGGAGGTAGATAACAGAGCCAAGAACCTTATATTTTTGTAATATACAAACTTCAGGTCCTAAATGGGAAAATTTTAGCATCTGTGTAAAGGTTGTGCATTTGATTTGTAGTAATTGGATTTACAAATTGGAGACAGGTCCATGCTCAGATTAGAAGGGTTCACTACCTAGTGATGTGTACTATGGCACAGCTATGACGGATGGCTAAGCGTGGCTGGGATGATAAACTCTGTGTGTTTGCACTGAATATTAAAGTTTCCTGAATGGTCAGTATCTTTGACAACAAATATCCAGCAGACGCATCCGAGCAAGACCACAGAACAATTTGCCAAAGGAGATGGAGAAGGGCTGTTTGAGCAGTGTCTGCACCCCGAGGCAGCTGATTAATTCTGACTGTGTTTGCACGCAACTACAGAGCTAAACCACTGCATTGTATACCTAGCAAGAGGAAACTCAAAAACTGAAGTTCAGACCCTACCACATATGTATCTAATATGACTGATTGTGTATAGACAAAAGAATCAGTTCTCTGCATTTCTGTCAATGGGAAAGCCAATTTCTGCCACTAACAGCTCAAGCTGACAATAAATAAAGCACATCAAGAAGAAGAGATAGGAGCAGGCATCAAAATGGGCTCCACTTATGCAGATTTCACTTCAGCCAACATCACTGGGCTTATGGTAAGAATTATTAGGAAAGATTTTCTGCCCTGTGTTCTTTAGGAGATCAGACATGATCTGAATATTCCTATCTGGCCTTATTTCTTTGGCACTGTCACTAGATAAGATAATCTACAGCACTATAAAACTACATTATCTGGACTGCCTCTGCGTTTCTGGTCACCTATCACAGTGATAGCCTACCAAAAAAGCCAGTAGAGAAACCTCTGCCCCAGAAAGAATTATCTTTAGATACAAAATAAAGCACTGCATTGTTATCAGTACTACTGCTACTACTATTATTATTAGAACTAGGAAGAGAAAAATCCTTATCCAAATTCACGAATGGGCTTACAAATTTGGCATAAATATTCAGATAACTGCTTTCTGAGGAGACATCCTGTTTAACACTGTTCTTAAGACAAATGATTGAAAATCCACAGTCCAGGAGTCAAAATTTTACAGTGCTACAGCTCTGCTTTAGTATTAGCCCGGTGCCTGCCAGGAACATTCCTCGAGTCATCTGACATGGTTTTACACATATGGGGACTTCTGCATAGACTTTGTCGTATGGGTCACATGAAACTACTCGTCTATCCTTTCCTGACTGGATGTACAATTTGCAGACTGATCCACAGTGCTGTACAAATCTTGGATTCCAGGCATCTTGGCCCCAGTAACTCCTGTTCACAAGCGAGTGGGACTAGTATCCTTATTGTATTCTGCAGCAGATTAACCATTCTCACCACGAGAGCAAAGGATTAGCAAACTATATCCATTTCCTTAGATTCTCTTTTATCCTTTGCCCCTAGCATTTCTTTTTCTTTTGCAGCTCCATAACAGCGGTAGCTACAGATAGCTCAGCGGCATGAAGTACAATCTCTTTCTAGCTACTCATCTCTCCCACCGTGTCTCATTCAGGGAACATCGTTCTCTCTATCAAGTTAAAAACCAGAGACCAGCTACTGAGTATTTTTTCCACCTTCTTTCTATTAAATCTCAGCCTGACTGATGGTAGAAGGATTAAACTGAACTTGCAGCCTTTAGGTGATTTCAGATGGAGAGATAAGGAGATGCTATTTGTTAAGTGAGGTAAGCAGAGAAGAGTGTAGCTGCCTCGCCAGCAGCTCCAGCCCAGGACTACTCCTGCTGGCTGCTGTGGCCCAGACCAGTGCTTGGGGATCGGGGCTCCCTGCCCAGGCCAGGGGACGTGGTTGCCACTTTCCCTTTTCCAGGTCCAACCTGTAGGAAAACTGAGCAAATATCCCAGAGACACATGGACACACACGGGCAGGACATTGACATGACCGTCCACAAAGGCTGCCCCACTCAAGGGCTCCCTCCAACAGCACATACACACACTGGGCTCATGTAAAACACACACACAGGCAGCTGAGACCCCTTCCTCCTTTCTGGATGTTAGAGAAGTTGGCTGGTGCATGCATGCACACAGCACTCTAGGTTCACAAGCACACACACATCTGTGGATCTTTCAAGTACCTGGCATGGCCCATCTGTCCATCCAGCACCTCTCCCAGATCCCGGGCCCCTTACACACCTCATGGGTCACCCACTCACCAGCTGGTCCAGCCTGAAGTTTGTTAGCAAATACACACACACACGCCATGTGGTGTCTGTAGTTTGATAGCCCACCCATTAGTGTGACAGGGAGGTTTGTTTCATCTCCATTTTGCTTTGTCAGGTCTGTGTCTCAGCATTTTACTTATTGTTCCTCCTTCCTTATTTCTTATCATCCTGGTCCAGAAATCCTCCCTCAGACAACCTCGCTCAAATCAACGTTCCCACATCCATCTCTTTCCTCATCAGGTTTGTCTCCCTTACTCACTATCTGTTTGTGGTCTTGGAAAATGTCTTTTACCAGAGACCCTTAAAGGAGCAAACATTCTTCTATGTACCCTTACACTATTCAAGGAACTTACATTTATTTATTCACCTATTTACTCCAGGCATCCACTTTGAATTTTAACCAGACGAGTCTTAAGGCTGTATGACAACAAACTCCTGAAAGGTCTACCTGGCCCAGTTCACCTGCATAGTACTATTTACAGATGTAAAAGTTAAATTCAATTACTAAACAAAAGACACAATTAAGACTTTTCTGGTGTGCATTAAAATTTGTTATATATATGTGCTTTCCCTTCATGGGAGAAGAGATATTTTTTAGATGAGACAACAAATTCAGCAGCAAGTACAGCAGATTTCAACAGAGATTAATTTGACCTGAGGCTGAATACCAAGTGATGGAAGGAAATGAGGTTTGTATGGTGCCAAGATTTTCCGTTTTTAAAGCTCTGGCCTGGCTATTTAGTGACAAATAATGTTTGGCATTTCCACCTCCCAGAGCATTCCAACACATCAGCTCACAAGACAGATGGATTGCAGTGCACCATGAGGATGCACCATGAGTGCATGCCCTTTTTGCAGCAGCCACCTTCTGTTATTTGACCTGCTCTGATGAATGGAAAATTAAGTCCATTACAGGTCGTAATGTTTGTATGGGGCAGTCCTCAGTGAAACCTAGTTCTTATGTCTTGACACAGCTGAAGAGTGGCACGCGGAGGTCTTGACTAAGGAGCAAATCAGAAGGAGAACCCAAAACAGAAGGATGAAGTCCTGGCTTGTTACAAGGGTGACAGAACAGTCAACACAAAAATAAACTCAGCATCCTACATTTACCACAGAGGCACCTCAGTAAAACCCACCACAGCACTCAGCCAAACCCCAGAAACCCCTAAACCTGTTTGAACAGACCGCTGCCAGAAGCATCCTGAAAGCTGAGGTGCTCTGGGAACAAAATGCAAGATACTCAAACTCCCCACATTGCCTGCAGACAGGCTTATGACATTGCAACAGGAAGGATGGGATTTATAAAGGTGAAGGGGTCAGCACTTCATGACAAATAAATATACCTCTTAATGTGCTCTCAGGCATGATGAAGTATCAAAAATATTACCTTAAACATGTCATCCTGGCCACTCTAGCAGGACCCAAGAGCAGGATCAAAGACCTGGTCTGTTTTTGCACCTGGCTTTGAGGTCACCTCAACTCAGCAATACAGGCACAGCCTTTGGGAAGGGGTGCTGAGCATTGGGGAAAATCTACTTGTGCACTGGAGCCTAGTTAGACCTAATGTTAAAAAAAAAAGGCCATCTACCAGGAAGGTAAATAGCAAATGTTTATTCAAACAGCATGACAATGTTCTACACTTAAGGATTGTAGCACCAGACATATCACATCCACCAACACAGTCCTCTGTTTTACCAAGCACAGACAGACTGTACGAGGAAAGACCTTGGCAGCCCAAGTGATATACAACTTTATTTCACCACAGGCCAGAACCTTAAC